GGCGGAAACATACACCTGCCCACACACGCTCTCTAAGCTGCAAAGTTCTGGCACAGAGCTCTCCTTCTCACCACCACCACCATCAGTTCGCGCCTGGCGCCTCGTCGATGCATAGTTGGCGGTATCCGACATAGCAGGCTGGTACATCAAGTAGCGCATGGCACATAGAAGATGACACAGCAACGATATAGCTCGATTGCGACGTAAGTTTCGTCCCCGAGTCAAGCTCCGTATGAAGACATGCAAGAAGAAGATTGCCTGATGAGCCCAGCGGGGACGAAACGTACGTCACAATCGAGCTATGTCGTTGCTGTTTCATCTTCTATGTGCCATGCGCTACTTGATGTACCAGCCTGCTATGTTGGATACCGCCGACCATGCATCGACGAGGCGCCAGGCGCGAACTGATGGTGGTGGTGGTGAGAAGGAGAGCTCTGTGCCAGAACATTGCAGCTTAGAGAGCGTGTGGGCAGGCGTGTGTTTACCGCCATATTGGTAGGTGTGTCTTTACCACCATATTTATCAACCATAAGTACAGCTGCAGTGGTGTCTTCAACTTCATTTTCTCCATTAAATTTTTTTTCAAACTATGTATCTAAAACAAACTTGAAAATCAAATAATTATTATTATTTGTACTTCTGACTCACAGATATTTCAGTTTTTTGTGGAACTTGAGGGCATCTGAAGAAACTCCATAACCATCGTATACGTCAAAAGGGTTTGTTGCAATATTCCTGCAATATGGAGAATATGAGCAAACTTGCTGTGTCAGTACAGGAATCAATTAGAACACGACCAAAAGCCCAATAGTGTAATCTTGAATGTGGATAAGGCATCAAAGCCACGTTCTAACGTTACTCCTCATCAGTAGTTTAACAACTCCGTGTCCACTACCGTCGACTCTCTCCGCAGCCATCTCCTCGCAGTTTCCATACTTCGTTTTCCCAGCAGCTCCCATAAACCTGCTTTTGAGCATCGCCGCCATGTCCTGATGGCGTACTCACCCTCTCAGTCTGGCAGAGGTGAAGCCGTACCAGCCTATCTTCACAAGCGAAGACGTCAGTCGTTCCGGATTCTCAACGACTCTGACTTGTCAAGGAGCGGAACTGTATGGCTAGGCCGGTATAACCCTTGTTCTCCTTAGCTATGAACAAAACAATTGATGATGACAAAATACCATGATGATAAAAAAGTAAAACGAGAGAGCTTGGAAGCTCAGGGCCCTACGCTTTGCTTTTTTGCCTTGATGACCTAGGCAAAAGTAATTTTTCATTTCTCCTATTTTTTCAAGACATAACCTGGGATTCGAACCCGCACTATCGCCCTGCATGCATCCCCCGATACACTTCGCATACATACTAATTCTTCCAAGTTGCTTCACGTTATTATCTTGCATTTGAAAGCCCTATTTGAATATCGTGGCCAGCTGTTTGTGGCCGGCCAGCCATCTTTGATGGTACGGTACGGTACGGCACGGGGCAGATACGGTCGAGGGTAATACGACACCGTCTACCACCTTGATGACATAGGCAAAACAAGCATAGGGATGTTATAATTTTTTTAATTCTCCTATTTTTTTAGGCATAACCTGGGATTCGAACCCGCGGTATCGCCCTACATGCATTCCCCAATACACTTCGCATTCATACTCATTCTTCCAAGTTGCTTCACGTTATGATCTTGCATTTGAAAGCCCTATTTGAATATTGTGGCCAACTGTTTGTGGCCAGCTGTGTTTGATGGTACGGTACGGGACAGATACGGGATAGTGCCAGGCGTGACACAAACACCCAAACAAACAAATAAATACCAAACGAGAGAGCTTGGAAGCTCAGGGCCCTACGCTTTGCTTTTTTGCCTTGATAACCTTGACAAAAAAAGCGTAGGGATGTTATAAATTCTTATAAGTTTATAATACTCATAAAAAGGACACACTTCAGGCTCATTACAAACATCTAAGTTTATACTTTTTGTTTTTAGACATAACCTGGTATTCGAACCCGCGCACTATCACCCTGCATGCATCCCCCGATACACTTCGCATACATACTATTTCTTCCAAGTTGCTTCACGTTATGATCTTGTATTTGAAAGCCCTATTTGAATATGCATTGTGGCCAGCCGTCTTTGAATGTACAGGTATGGTACGGGATAGGTACGGGACAGGTACGGTCGAGGGTAATACGACACCGTCTACCGCCTTGATGATGGCAAAAAAAGAAAAGGGATGTTATAAATTTCTCCTATTTTTTTCAGGCATTACCTGGGATTTGAACCCGCGCTATCGCCACACATGCATTCCCCCATACACTTCGCATCCATACTCATTCTTCCAAGTTGCTTCACGTTATGATCTTGCGTTTGAAAGCCCTATTTGAATATTGCGGCCAGCTGTATGTGCAGGCCAGCTGTGTTTGATGTTACAGTACGGTACGGGACAGATACGGGATAGCGCCAGGCGTGACACAAACACACAAACAAACACCAAATTAAAGCTGTGTGGACCCTGGCTAGCGCCAGACGTTACTGAAGTAACGTCTTCTGCATAGCTTCGGGAATTAAAGCTGTGTGGACCCTGGCTAGCGCCAGACGTTACTGAAGTAACATCTTCTGCATAGCTACGGGAATTAAAACCTAAATGAACTCGGGTGGAGAGCCAAGGATTAATTATTTATAAAAAGTAAAAAGATCAAAGAACTACAAGTTACACTATATTAATGTCCACTAACACCACCAGTTATTAAACAATCAGCTCATGCGATAACAGTGCACAACACTGACCGACGGTACTGACGTTCTACAACTAACTGGCTTATAGCTCTAGCACATCTTGGATGTGCACTCCAACAGCCTTCCAACTTTTAACTGTAGTCCATAACCATGACGACTACGGCACAATACAGTGAAAGAAGAGTCGGAATACGAATTGCAACAATCAGGACTAGCTAGCAGATGATTTTACACTGAAGACTCTCTACTACGAAACCTACGCACAACACCAGCACTCTCACCAGCACTCTCACGGCCACTCTCCTCATCGCTGTTCCACTCACTGCTTTCCTCGTCATCCGTTCCATCCTCCGAATCCTCTGCGCTCTCTCTCTCTCTGTTTCGTCCATGTCTCTGGGCCCGGTCCATTGAACTTGACTCGGCCGTCAACCTGCTGTCGCGTCCCTCCTTTCGCCCTTGTCCATTGAATGCGTAGCTTCTGTTGTAGTTGGCTGTTGATCGTCTTGGTCTTTCAATAGCGGGATTGCATGGTGGATTAATTGCGGTTACTGCAGATTGCGTTGTTGGTGTTAGTGTGGGAGATGGTGATACACTAGGTGGGTCTTTTTGAGTCGGTAATTGTAGAGTTAATGTCACTGTCGGTGTTGTTCGCGTTATTCAACGGACAAGGGCGAAAGGTGAGAGTGCTGGTGAGAATGCTGGTGTTGTGCGTAGGTTTTGTAGTAGAAAGTCTTCAGTGTACTATCATTGTCCGCAGATTGTGTATTTCGCTCCATTACATGTGGGGTAGTGCCTTTGCTGTTTGCATTATGCAGAGCTCACTGACTTGTCAGTTTGAGCACTCTGGCAAGGTACGTTCGGGGCTGGTTAAAATCTGGCTTTGGAAAATTTGTTTTTCATTGCTACCAGGTTCGGCCTCATTTAACATTTTCTATGTGCTGCGCTGATGAGTCCACAAAGAACGAGACAGCATGCTGTCCGCAGGCGGATTGAGTATTTCGCTCCTGCTCTTGTAGTAGTTGAGCACTCTCATGTGGGGCGGTGCCTTGCTGTTTGCATTATGCAGAGCTCACTGACTTGTCAGTTTGAGCACTCTGGCAAGGTACGTTCAGGCCTGGTTTAAATCTGGCTTTGGAAATTTTATTTTCATTCAGTGCTACCAGGTTCAGCCTCATTTTCTCTGTGCTGCGCTGATGAGTCCACAAGCTGAGATGAAACAGTTCTGTCTGCAGATTGAGTATTTCGCTCCTGCTCTTGTAGTAGTTGAGCACTCTCATTTGGGGTAGTTTGCTGTATGCAGAGCTCACTGACTTGTCAGTTTGAGCACCCTGGCAAGGTACGTTCTGGCCTGGTTTTTATTTTATTTATTTATTTCACTCAACTCGTGGTTCATGACCAATTGGCACGCAAAGTGCGAGAGAGGGGTGATAGCCAACCACGGCAAGAAAAGAAAAGAAAGGAATATAGAAAAAGAGAAGAAAGAAGGATAGACAAGAATCTAGCATTGAGATCCTATTGTACTATCGTACTACATTATTGTCAAAATCTTATCGATTTGATTATAGAATGTAGAAGACCTTTCGAACCATGCACACACTCACACTACTACAACACAAACCACCATCGTTCATTCATCAACTACACTTCAGTCAAGAAGAAGAATAACCCCTCCCAAGGAGATACAAACAACGGAGAAAAGAACTGAGACGCACAATGAGTACGCTCTGAAAACGGCGGTGCTCGGAAGCAAGCGAGGCCAAATAGATCGCGAAGCAGCGCACCCGGACCCATTCGGGCCTGAGCTGCGTAGCGATCGCGTGGTCAGGTGCACTGTGGTGCCATGGAAACAAAGATGGTGGCGCATGTAGCGCGTGTACCACGAGGTAGAAAGAAAGGAAAATAAATAAATAAATAAACTGCAGAACGAAAGTGAACGCGAAGAAGAAATATAATATTTGAGAGTCTTTAGAGAAACAAGAATGTAGTTCGCGTCTGGCGGAGGGTGCTTGCACCTAGCTAGAGGTGAGAGCACCACTGTCAGATAATGGAAAGACTGAGTTAGAAAAGGAGAAAGAGGACGGAGTTGCAGACTGAAACTACAGGAAGTTCAAGTAAGACGTGAACACTAAATTTATATGTATTTCAAATATTCGTGAACGGCAGTTCTCGACACTCCCACCAAACAGAAGTGTGAATGCACTAGAAAGAGAAAGGAACAAAGAAGATTGTGAACTAAAGCGTAGAAATATTATAATAAGTTATACTTACCTTAACGCCGTGAAGTTACAAGCCGTCCATCTAGCGATGTTTTGGCGTGCCTGATCGGCAGCCTTGCGCCTCGGGCGGGTTGCTGATGGCGGTGGTGCTTGCACTCCAGGAGCATTATCCGATTCCTGGCTGCTGACGACTGCGGGGGCATCATCCTGCCGGGTGCTGGGTACCTCGAGTGGATACAGCAGCGATAGTGGGCGTTCCACTGTGCGGCCAGACGCATCAGGACCTCTGCTGAGCGGACGCAACCATCTGTCGCACTAGCGTTAGCCGCTGTTACCTTGCCAATGTGCCACTGGCCACGTGGTATACCTTCGGATTTGACGATGACGATCTCCCCGACCTGTGGCTGGCCGGATAGAGACGTCTTGGGCTGGCGGTGATCAGGGTTCGCACGTTCCCTGAGTAATTGCAAGTACTCAGTCCGCCAGCATTTCCAGAAACGTTCCAAGAGAACTTGGGACGCCCTCCACCACTGCAAGATGTGATCCCGGGAGCTGATATCAGGTGAATAGTCGGGATCATCAGCAGAGGATGTGTCGACAGGGATCAGCGTGGGTCGACCACCAACGAGGAAGTGAGCTGGTGAGAGCACGAGAAGACCAGGACCTTCATCGTCAGCCGAAACGGGAGTCAGTGGGCGGTTGTTGACGACAGCTTCAACTTCAGCCAGCAAGGTGAGGAGCTGTGGGAGCGAGAGCAACTGCCGGCCAACAACTTTCCGCATGCAGCCCTTCACAAGGCCAACCATGCACTCATAAATACCACCTTGCCATGGGGCGAGTGCAGTGGTGAATTTCCACGTGATCTGACGTTGAGAGAGAAACTCGCCTAGGACGGGGTCAGACGGTAGAGAGGACCAGACATCCGGCACGGCAGAACTGGCGAGGTGAAATTGGCTGGCGTTGTCAGAATACAACAGACGCGGTACGCCACGACGAGCAATGAAGCGACGTAAGCCAGAGATGAAGGCAGCTGTGGACATGTCATCCACGAACTCGAGGTGGACAGCACGGATAGCGAAACAGGTGAATAAACAGACCCATACCTTGGTCGTGGAGGAGTCGGACTGCTTGATGAGCAATGGTCCAAAGTAGTCCAGACCGGTGAACTCAAATGGATGAGCAGGGTTGACACGCTCAGCAGGCAGAGGCGGCATCAACGGAAGACGATAGGGTGGCGAGTCTTGACGACGGCACACAAGACATAGCTTCAGTTCTTGGCGAACAGCCTGACGACCATGAGGAACCCAGAAGTTGAGGCGAAGCTGTGCGAGGGTGTGGCTTGGACCAGCATGCAGCAGGCGACCATGGATGTCGAGAATGATCAAGACAGTGAGACGATGCTGGCGTGGCAGCAGAGCAGGCTGGCTGGTAGCATGGACGTGAGCAAGCTTGCCATGACAACGGATAACACCGAGCTGGTTACGCTGAAGACCAAATTGCTTCACCAACGGTGACGTGCTATCAGCGAGAGAACCAGTGTACAGATCAGGATAGGAGCTGTGCTGCGCTGAACGTACGAATAGAGACAGAACCAAGCGTCGCACACTGACGCTGAAGACATGCGGTTGAGCAGCAAACTGGCTGAGTAGCTGAGCTAGCAGAGCATGGCCATCCTGAAGGCGTGTCTGCTGAGCAGCGGGCAACCGAGTCCACACAACACGATAGAGGAAATGCATGCAGTAGGTCAAGATCCTGACGGCTTTGGACAGTGAGGACGAGCGCGTTAGGATAGACTGCTGCACAAGTGACGGCGGCAGGACTGGTTGGGTAGCGAGCATGCTGTGGATGAGACGAGGTCCACGATACTCGGCCTCGGCCAACGCCAAGTCCTGAGGAGTGATGGTGGGGTGACTAGAAGCAGGCCATTTGCTGACGTCTTCTGTTAGCCACGAAGGACCAGACCACCATAGAGTACTGTCGGCGAGCTGCGCAGCTGTTTGCGGACGAGTAGCCAAATCAGCAGGATTAGCAGCACTGGGGACATAGCGATACATGATGTCCGGCAGAGCACGTAAACTAGCGATGCGATTGGCCACAAATGTAGACAGGTCCCGACTTGATACAAGCCAATGCAGAACGCACTTGGCATCAGTCCAGACAGTAGTGGACGAGAGCGTGAGGTTGAGCTCCTGCCGATGGAATGACGCAAGTCGAGCACCTATGACAGCACCCAGTAATTCCAGGCGAGGAATGGTCATGGTGTCAGCTGTAGAAGATGACTTCTTGGGAGCTGGTGCGAGCCGCATCTTGCTGAAGACGAGGGCAGAGTGTACCGAACTGCCATCTGTGACCCGGAGGTAGCCAGCAGCTGCATACGCATTGACAGAAGCGTCCGTGAAGATATGGAGCTGCACATCCGTAGCGCTGCCGACCGGACAACACAAACGGGGAATAGTGATCGAAGAGAGCGATGCCATCATAGAGGAGATAGCAGACCATTCGTCAGTAAAGTGTGCAGGTAGAGGGTCATCCCAATTGAGCTCAGCTTGCCACAATTGACGAAGTAGCAGGCGCCCAGACAGAATGGCTGGGACGAGTAGACCAAGCGGATCGTACAAAGCAGAGACGGCTTGAAAGACAATGCGCTTAGTAGCAGGTGCAGCAGCAGAGAGGGTGCAGCGAGTACCAGCAATTGACAATACATCGTCATGTGTGTCCCACTGTAAACCAAGCACCTTGACATGTCGAGTCGTGACGATGTCATCCGCTGGTAGAGTCACCCGAGCAGCTGTACTATTGGTTGTCCACTCACGCAAATTCATTGATGCACGCTGGAAAACGGACTTGGCCTCCTCATATACAGCAAGAACATCAGAAACATCCGAGACACCAATCAACACGTTGTCCACGTAGATATTCTGATCGATAGAAGCGGCAAGAGGAGTACACTGCAGCTGCAGATGGTGATGGATAGTAGCTTCCAGCAGAAACGGACTGGCAACAATACCGAACGGCATCCTACAGAAGCGATACACAGCCAAGTTGTCCTTGGATGTGGCAGGGTTTGCTGGATCGTCAAACCAGAGGAAACGTGTGACATCTCGGTCAGCCGGCCGAATGCTGAGCTGGAGAAACCCTTTCTCGATGTCAGCCAACAGCACAATGGAGTGGCAACGGAAGCGGAGAAGTATGCCACAGAGATTCGGCAAGTTGATAGGGCCACGATGCATGCACTCGTTCAGACACTTCGCTGCTTTGGATGACTTGGCCGAGGCGTCGTATACGATGCGCAGCTTAGTGGTCGCCTTGGAGGGTGTCACGACTGGCTGGTGCGGCAGGTAGTGCTTGACGGTGTGAGTTGAAGTGTTGGTTGACACACGTTCAACAATACCCAGCTCAACCTGAGACTGGATCACTGCATCGTAGCGCAATAGCAGGTCATGGTCCCTAGCGAGCTGCTTAGCGAGGGAGGTCAAACGACCGAGTGCGAGGCCATAGTTGTCTCGCAGGTCAGGTGTCTCAGACTTCCACGGCCAAGCGACTTCATAGCGGCCATCGCGAAATCGGACGGTTGAGTTGAAGTGCTGCTGGGCACGGTTGTCGTCAGTGAGGAACGGCGAGTCACTGATACCAATACTGTCGAGAGACCACATCTCGGACAGATCCGGTACGCGTTCCGTAGCGCACACAAAGACCACAGAGTCAGAAGCAGAGGCATTCGAGCTGTCTGCAGTGGCTGGATTCGGGTTGCCAGACAACAGATATCCCAATCGAGACGGAATGAGGTAGAGGCCAGAAGGCAACCGTGTTGGCAGACCACTCATGAGGTCCCAGAAGTACTGTATGCCCAGTAGCAAGTCGACTGCATGAGTGGAGGCACCGTCCGGTAACGGATCAGCCAGAGAATCTGCCGGCAGGTTGATCAGAACTGCTGTAGCATGGCTACTTTATGACACGTAATTTGTATACGCATAAATAGTACACCGTAGGAATGCATGGATAGGCTGTGCGCATACTCGCACTGCCTTGTCTTCTTCTTCTCCTTGTGTGAGACAATGAACGAATATTGATAACTACTTACGTAACAACAAGTATGTGCTGTGAGTGCTGAGACTGAGAGTATACGAGTTACAATGGTGGCAGCGGAAAAATAGTCGTCGGTTTTGTCCTCGGCTGGGAAGACGCCTCCGCGGGAGAGACAAGTTGCAGAGTCGACAAGTTCCAGAGAGTCTGAGACCAGTTCCAGCTACTCGGGAGACCAGCCCACAGACTAAGTTCTAATTTACTAGTATTGGTCATTCTATCCTTCGTCTCGTTTTCCATTCTTTACTTCTTGACTGATCGTTCGCTGTGCATGACTGAGTAACAGTTTTGTTTGGTGTAAAAAGGGCTAGAATTTTCACTACAATTATTTTTGCACATAGTTCTACGTGGATGTGCGTGCATACTTACAGCTACCCTGGCCTTGGTCTTGTAGTACTGTACTACGTAGATTGTGCATGCATGCACCTGCATATGACGTAACTCCATGATTGTACATGCAGTACTTGTACTTGTGTAGCTAGCTAGCTAGGTAGACCTACGCACTACGTACGCGTAGCTTGACACATCACGGATTCACGGTACGGGCCGCGCCGGCGGGTTGGCCGCGAGTGACGTTTGCATTGCACGGTTTTTTTTGTAGAATTTTTTTTTTATATTAAATTTTGTTAAAATTTTGAACTTACTTGATCTCGAACGCAAGATGGGCAAGTCGAAAAAGCAGACCCGGTCACCTAGTCCATTGTCATTCGAGATGTATGACAGGCCTGCCAGTACCAGTGCCTCAGCCTTACCGAGACCAATCCTGTTACCCGAAGTATTTGGTCGTGCTGGAAATGAAGATTTTTCGGCCTACCTCAAACATTTTAACGATGCATGCCACCTGAACGGGTACAGTGAGGAACAAAAACTATTGTTATTACCCACAAGACTCGTAGGCACGTCCCATGAACTGCTGGAGACCATTCTCCTATCTGATGCAGACATTTCGTTTCATGACACCGTTGAAGCGCTCCGCAGTCGCCTGGAGCCACCACAGCAGGCCCAAATGCACGAAGCAGCTTTACGCCAGCGCCTGAAACTCGCCCATGAAACGCAGTATGCATATGCCATGGAGCTCCGCCGCCTTGCTGCCAAAGCATATCCAGGCCAACAGGGCCCGTTACTAGAATCGATGCTGCTGCAAATTTTCATCGATGGTCAGCCAACAAAAGATATGCGCCTGGCTCTGTCGTCGCCACGACCAGCAAGCATTGAACTGGCGGTCCAAAAAGCAATTGAGGTCTCGGCAATCTACGCCAGGGAACAGAGCCGGATGCCTGTAGAGTCTCACTTCGCTCAGGCTGTACATGTAACTGGTGACTACGATGGCTCGGCCTGCGCCGCGTTGCCGTTACGCAGCCAGCCACCTGGCCCATCACCAGCTGTACACCGTGCTTCTGTTGCCAAGGCAAGTGCGTATGACGCTGGAGAGCGTGATCGACTGGCCCAAGTGCTTGAGAAGTTTGATTCAAGAATGTCAGATCTTGAAAAGAGACTCGGTCGTTTAGAAATAATTGTCGCTCCGCAAACACCAGTCACTTCAGGAGCAAGTCCCGATGGCCAGTCTCGTATCAGTGGACGTGGTCGTGGACGGGGACGGGCGTATGGTCGTGGTGGTCGCGATGAACCGCCGATTTGTTTTGGGTGTGGACAACCTGGCCACTTTGCTGTTGATTGCCCACACAACCCTTGGCGCTCGGGAAACTGAGTACGACTGGTGGTGTGGGACAACTACCAGTCGTCCACGAGGAGCCATCAGATGAGGCGCGAATCGAAGCTGTATCATCTGTCGTCCCTACCCTAGACCTCAATGTTGAAGGCAAGAGCGTAACTGCACTAATTGATTCTGGTTCATGTGTTTCTTTGTTGCATGAACAAACATTATTGTCCACGTATGGTGATGTGCCTTTGCAAGCTGCCCCCCGTTTGTGTGCGGTGAATGGTGAGGGACTTCGGGTTCTGGGTGCTGTAGATATCGAATGCTGCATTGGAGGGTGCTCATTTTTGCATGCATTTGTAGTGTCCCCTGATATCCGCCGTGATATGATCTTGGGATCTGATTTCTTGTTTGACCATGGAGCATTACTGAACATTGCTCAAGGCACCTTAACTTTTAAAGACCTGTCAGTCCCGTTAGGAGTGAAAGCTACCAGTTTTGGTCCATCGGAACCTAGTCCGGCCGTTGCGGAGGACCCGGCGCCAGTATCTGACTCTTGTGTTAGTGATAGTAATTCTCAGGAAGACCTGAGCACGTACTCTTCTCGTGTCACTGTTGGTCGTGCATTAACTCTGCCTGCCGGCCATGTAGTGTTGGTGCCGTGCATGTCTGTGCAAGAGGCACCTGTAACTGTGGACTGTGTTGCTGATCCACTTGACTCATTCTTGACAAAGTTTCCAGATGTGTCTGTGACCCCCGGTGTGGTTACGGTTGGACCTGACAGGTCCCGTGTGGTAGTTGTGTTGGAAAATCACTCTGACCACCCAGTGCTTCTTGCTAAAGATGTTAACATTGCCGAGTTATCTCCTGTACCCGAGGACTTCATTGTCGAGGATAATGATCCTACTGTTTCGTCCGTTGCGGATACGCCACCGCTTGTGCTATCCCCTGAACGTGCCGAGGTAATCCGTACATATGTTGACTCTCAGAGTCATCTGTCAGTACCTGAGAAGAGCACACTTACAGAGATTCTCCGGGAGAATCATGACTTGTTTATCTTGCAGGAGGGTGATTTTGGTCATTGTGATGTTTTCCCACATCGTATTAGTACTGGTGAGACAAAGCCAGTTAAGCAGCCTACGCGTCGTGTACCCTACCACCGCCGGCAGGCTTTACAAGCTTTGCTGGATGATCTGTTGGCCCGTGGTATAATCACAGAGTCTATTAGTCCCTGGGCGTCACCCATAGTTCTCGTTCCAAAGAAGGACGGATCTCTTCGATTGTGTATCGACTACCGCAAGTTGAACAGTGTTACGGAGCCAGATGCGTACCCCATCCCACGAGTTGATGACATGCTAGACTCACTCTCCGGCTGTTCCTGGTTCACTTGCCTGGATTTAGCTTCAGGTTATTGGCAGATCGCTATGGACGAGGAAGATAAGGCCAAGACTGCCTTTACCACACCGTTGGGTTTGTTCGAGTTCTCCGTGATGCCAATGGGATGTCGAAATGGTCCGGCAACTTTCCAGCGTGTGATGGAAGCGGTGCTTCATGGCTTATGCAATGTGCCGACCCAGCCATTCTGTCGCGTTTTCTTCGACGATGTGCTGAATGCCAGTTCTACCTTGCCTGGACAGCTCCAGATCCTCAAGTCGGTGTTTGACCGCGTTCGTGCTGCTGGACTGATGTTCAACTTGAAGAAATGTTCGTTCTTCCAACGAAAAGTGCTCTTCCTCGGTCATCAGGTTTCGGCTGACGGATTGGCTCCGGATCCGGCCAAAGTTGAAGCTATCGAGCAGTGGGCTGTACCGAAGTCAGTGAGAGATGTACGTGTGTTTCTGGGTTACGCTGGGTACTACCGTCGGTTCATCCGTGGCTTTGCTCAGCGCTCTGCACCCCTGACTGCTCTATCAGGGAAGAATGCCAGCTTTATGTGGACAAAGAGTTGTGATGCGGCATTCACCTCTCTGAAACGGTCACTGACAACAGCCCCCGTGTTGGCGTATCCCAACTTTTCTGTTTCGTCTGGCGGCTTTATTTTGGACACTGACGCTAGCAAGGTGGCCATTGGAGCTGTCCTCAGCCAAATGCAAGATGGCGAGGAACGCCCCATTGCGTTCGGCAGCCGGGTCTTGACGAAGGCAGAGAGGAATTATGATGCCTCAGACCGGGAAACGCTTGCCCTTGTCCATTTCGCGAATCAGTTCCGGCACTATTTGCTTGGTCAGAAGTTTATTGCCCGCACAGATAACACTGCCCTCACCGCACTGATGTCCGTGAAGGAACCACGCGGTCGAAAAGCTCGATGGGTGGAGCAACTCGCTGAGTACACCTTCACTACTGTTCACCGGCCGGGTCGGCAGCACTTGAATGCAGATGGTCTGTCGCGTTCCTTGTTGCCGGAGGTGCAACCCTCCCATCTCGAGACTCCCGCAAATCAGCCAGAGCAAGCTAGTTCCTCTGCCACAACGGCGTCTGTGGATGTCGCCACTCCTGTACTAGCTGGTCTCTCCGCACCTGAGTTGGCCGCTTCCCAAGCTGTGGATGTTGATCTATCAGTGGTCTTGTCATGGTACAATGCAGTGAGTGGAAAATTTGTGCGTCCTCCTGAAGATTTAATTTCTGGCACTAGTCGTACCATGCGTTTGTTCTGGGCGAATGCCGAGCAGCTAAGTCTCATTGACAGCGTTCTGTACATATCACCTCCATTTTCCGATCATGATCATGTCGGTACTGCACCCCGTCTTGTCGTCCCATTTGTGCTTCAACGCAAAGCTTTGCTGGCTGTTCATGCTCTTCCGTCTTGTAACCATCCTGGTGTAGATAAAACATTAGCTCAAGCGCGGCTACGTTTTTTCTGGTTTGGAATGGCATCAGATGTTCAGGAGTTTGTGGCGTGTTGTGTCACTTGTGCACAGATTAGGCTCAAGTCTGATGCCCAGCGTGCTCCGCTCCAGCCAATGTATGCCGGCTACCCATTTCAGCTCGTAGCCCTCGACATCGTCGGTCCATTGCCAGAGACACCCCGTGGTAATCGATATCTGTTGGTTATGGCTGATTACTTCACTCGGTGGGCAGAAGCTT